AGGCGATAGACACATCCTTGAATTTATTATTTCAAATTGTTGATTATTGACTGCCGGTCAATTTAATGTTATGATTCTTTTACCTCTCGTACGAAAACTTGAGCATATACAAAGCATACATATTTTTCTTCTTCTAATGTTTCAGTTTAAAAAAAAATCTTTATTTTCAGAGTCCTACACTTGTGTCTCTTGTTGAACCCGGTAACATGATATAAGGGGCTTACCAAGCTTAGGGTGGAGGCGGCAGACAACCACCCCAGCCATTTTAAATCCCAGACCATAAATATCAATATACATTCAGGTCCACAGTACAGAGGCTGGGCTGCCCAGCAGATTCATTCGCTCCAAGTTTGTGTATAAGAATAGGGAGGAGGGGTGGAGGGGGGGGGGGGGGGAAGGGGGGAGGGGCGAGGGGGGGGGGTGAGTGGGGAGGGGAGGCAGGAAAAATTATGGGAGACTGTGTCCCCTTGTTATTCTTGGATGGGCCAATAAAATTGATTAATCAATTTGAGGGAAATTAATTTTTGTGTAATGTTCCCCATTTTAATTTTAGTTTTGATCAATAGTGGGATACAAAAGGTAAGTCGGTACGTGTAAAAATAAAATACAAAACAATGTTTGCAATAATTTAGAGCACTGGTATATAAATACTGTTTGTTCATTTTCTCTTTCTAGGCAACGTCAGAAACTCCAGCAGCTAAGAATCAAGTTTTTTTCAGGAAAAAGTATATTATTCAGTTTGCTGAAATTTCTTCAGAAACGGCTTCTTAAAAAAAGAACAACTTTGTTTCATCATATATTAGTAAATGTATTCATCAATTTAGCTAATTTTAGTATGATATCGTTTTTCATGTTTTCTGTGTAATGTTACAAAATGTCGGTAAAGATTGAATCTGAATTAATTTTTTAATTATCTAGATAGAAAAGAATGAGAAGAAATCAGAAATAGGCAATGAAGCTAAAGATAGTGATACGTAAATACAATGAAGATCCATGAGTGAAACCTTAGTCACACCACCGAAACGATACCTTGTCAACTCCAAACCGATCGATTATATATTATAGGCAATGTTTGTTTTTCTCCTTGCTCGCTTGAAAAAAAGATTCAGTTGAATTCAATCAACCGATCCGAGATTATAGCTCATATTCATTGGTCTACGTTTGCACTTCTAATAACTGACATCGTTCCTTCATTACACTGTGTTTAAGCTGCAATTTCGACCAATCAGATGGCTGGATTTCTTAAGTGAGGTATATAATTAGAATTATCAACCATGGTTCGTTTCTTGCCCATACATCACCTACATTTAGTTCACTCAAAATCTTGCGTTTAGATGATTTACACTTATTCCAAGTAGGAATGTTCATGCACTTATGTCATAAACATATTCTCCCCGAGTCAATCCTAACTTATTTTACTTTAAATTGCAATATTCATAGCCATAGAACAAGAAATGTATGGATTTTTATTTGCTTCATAATTATGCGTACACACTTTTTTCAAAAATCTACAATGTACCAAGGACCTATCATTTGGAATTCGCTTTCCCCATCAATTAAAGAATCTCATTTGCTGATTTTTTTTTTAAAAGGAGGTTTAAAATATTTATTTATGCAATTTTTTTTTTTAAACCTCTTGTTTTATTTATCTGTAATAGTATATATAAGGCACTGTTGTATCCTCCCTTTATCTTTCAATTATACATATTTAGGTCGGCCACTTTATATAACGGTCACTTTCTTTCTGGCTGCTACCTGCCAAGCTTCTATAACACTTTTATATTGATGAACCAATGTATATCCATGTATTCTATTTCTTTATTGAACAATGTATAGTTCTCTCAGTGTAATTTATATTTTTGTAATTGCTTTGATGAAATAGAAAAGAATAGAATTGAATTGAATTGAAAATTATGTCAGGGTTGACATTTGTTTCCACTGAAGTTTGTTTCAGTTCAAACGCCGCTTTCCCAACACAAAACGGTCTTCGTGAAAGCATTTTGTGAGGAAAGCTTCAGCCGTCGGAGCTCCTTTCTCTCGTGAAAATGTCGTGTCCTCCCGTACCCTTCCGTAAAGAGAGAGAGAGAGAGAGAGAGAGAGAGAGAGAGAGAGAGATAGAGAGAGAGAGGGGAAAGGGGAGAGAGAGAGGGGAAAATGAAGGAGATATGGGGAAATAGAGAGAAAGAGAGAGAGAGAGAGGGAGAGAGAGAGAGAGAGAGAGGGGGGAAATGGGAGAGAGAGGGGGAAATGAAGGAGATATGGGGAAATAGAGAGAAAGAGAGAGAGAGAGAGAGGGAGAGAGAGAGAGAGAGAGAGAGAGAGCGAGATAGAGAGCGGAAAGGGGAGAGATGGAACAAATGAAGAAGATATGGGGGAAATAGAGAGAGAGAGAGAGAGAGAGAGAGAGAGAGAGAGAGAGAGAGAGAGAGAGAGGAAGTGGGGGAGATAGATGAGGAGAGAGGAAAAGAGAAAGATACAGAGGAGAGAGAGAGAGTGAGAGAGAGAGAGAGAGAAAGAGAAGAAACCACAGGACACTCACCTATATATTCGTAGTGTAGGCCCCTATATGGAGATGTGAAATATGATACGTTATCCCCATGGGGACAATGAAAACATCTTCATCAAAATGTCATCGTCTCGATTGAGACAATAGTGACAAAGAACCAACTTTAAAGAAAATATGGATTTCATGTAGGATTTCAAAATGAATATCGTATTTTCAGCTCTCACCAAGCGGGATGAGCAAACATGTAGTAGCAGGAGTAGTCCCCAGACGACAGCTCACATGATGTGCCTTCATTTCATGTTTACGGTTGTTAACATGTCGAGAAAAAAAATAGTTTTACATTTGAATGCTGCAGCGGATCGATCTAGTATTATTATCAGAAATATAGGGGGAGGGGGGGGGGGGATATCACGTGCCAATAACATTTACCTAGGAAGGAATTCGAACGGCCTTTTTTATGTCCGGGTGGGGGGGGGGGGGTTGAGTTGGTGAGAGCAATAAATAAGTTCCGTTAGCCCTTTTTTTAAAGCTCATTGAGGGGGACGAGGATTGTATTCCTTGACTAAAACCCCATTTGAATCATCAATTCTTCTGGGAGTGGATTGTTTCTGGACCTTCGATCCATCTTTAGTTTTAATGTACATTGAGTATCAGTAGAAGTAAAAGTAGTAGTAGTAGTAGTAGTAGTAATAGTAGTAGTAGTAGTAGTAGTAGAAGGAGAAGAAGTACAAGTAGCATTAGTAGTTGCTTTGTTATCATTATTGCCTCATACACGCTCCAGATAAACTACTAGACTCTAAGAAATGAATACTATCACCTTATGACGTGCAAGTTTCATCCCATGTTTTATTTTTTAATTGGTTTATTTTTTATAATACGAATTAATATATAATCATTTCATCGTATTTACACGATTGCTTACACAAAATTTCACAGGTATCTGTACATAGCATAAGGCACTGTTATATACATTGCACAAATCCGCGTTTTCCATATACCTTATAAAAAATTACAGTGCGAAGTGAAAACGTAGAACATAATTAAAAATATTTAACTGTTAACCCTTTATTTTATTTTAAAAAAACACGAAATATGCTTCTTTAAGCCAACTTATATTTTCCCATCCTCGTTTGTCACAATCTTTTGAAACATTTGCACCAGCAATTTTGATTAGTCCATAAAGAAATGCGCATATCAGTCAGTACATTTCTCAAGTTTGCATGGAAAATGTGTTTATGCCTTAAACTTCATAATTAGGCCATTAGCATCAATTCTAAAAACAATAATTTATTATAGATGTTATGAACTGCAATAGATGAAATAAGAATACAAACAAACAAGAGGAAAGCATAATTACACATCCAGTTGATGGTTCAATAAATCAAATATCGTTTACATATTTAATATAATATATGCACGTGTTAAACATACTAAGTTTGGTATACCCAATCCCATTATTGTATTGTACCATCAAAACGAATTTTGGTAAGGCTTAAAGAACCACCCTGTCATCGCTAATTGCCTATACAGAATGTTATTTTCAGCACTGCACTCGAAATCAATTCAATGTAATAAAAACAAAACTGCATCAACGACATGACACATTTGCAGAAAAAACATTGCCATTTTTTCCGCATGAAGAAACGTACATATAAATCTATCAAACTATTCAGTGGAAAAGAAGTAAGAACAAAAACTATTCAGTGATATTTGTTTTCTTTCTGTTCAGTAAAGCATGCCATGTCATGTTTATAACTTTTGGAGAGATGAGGGCATGATGGAAAATTTGCCCTGTATAATGTCAAACTATATATTGCTAAGAAATAAAATAATATACACCTGGTGAAATATTTCTCTCAAAAATACCAAATATCTTTGGAGGATCATGGCAGATACAATCAAGGCAAATTCTTTTTTGACACACCACAAAGAATTTAAATCTAATAATTTACCTGATAAGCCTTTTTGGAATTTTACATAGAAATAAACAGAAAGTGTGAATGCACAGTTTAGCAACAAAATAATAAAAAGCTTGTTAGTATAACCAATGGATTTAAAAAAAAATTCCCTAAAAAAAGTGAATTAAACAATCAACTGAGTCAATTATCATCTTAATTTATTGTTCGGTAACGCGATGAAATCACATTAAAACAAATTCATATAGCATGTTTATGTTTTCAATTTTTGCTTGAATAAATGGACATAATAGACTTGTTCTACGGGCGGAATTGAGCAAATACCCGTGGTTCTCTTCCTTCACCTAATCTTAAAATTAATAGCTTACCCTCGTCAAAGGAATGGAACAGTTTGTCTCAAAGGAAATATTTAGTGGCCATATATCATCGTAGACATCTAGCAAAGACCAGAGGCATTTTATTAATGGCTCTCAAAAGATCGCTAACAAGTCGTTTGTATTCGTCATTTCGTATATTTGCTTCAATGCACATACATACATATATTTATTTGAATTTATATGTGGAACGTGAATTAATTCAAAAAATGCCAACCAACTAACCAACCAAACAAGATAAAATAAATTGTATTATCACACACTTGTAAATAGTCCTCCTCCCACTCACAGAAAAATGATCTAAAGCCCCAGGGAAAGTGGTTTGTGGTGTAAAAACCCAAATGATGGAAAGGTCATTGCACAATGGAGAGGAACCCTTTCAACTAAATTAGCAAACAATCAACCTAAAGATTTGGTGAATTAAATTTGTGAAGAAACAATTCCCACAATTAAGCTGATAACCATTACTTTATTCTTCCATTTGTTTTATTTGCTTGAAATACTGAGTACAACCATTCACATCCCCCAAAACATCAAGTGACATATATATATGTGTGTACTCCATGTTGAGGCACCACAATTATCAAGGAACGTGCAATTAAAATATGCAGAAGTGAATGTGGCAAATCGACTTCAGAGCTTGACCAGCTAAATAAAATTACCCCGGTAAAGGGCCTACATCCTAGAGCCATATGCTCAGGAGGCGTTGTTCGACAACCGCCAATTACGCCAACCGATTGTCCTGATCACTCGACATCAAGCCACAGCAAGAAATAAAAAAAAAATGGGCCAATTTAGATACTAACATCTGAGTCAAGAGTTGTCACACAAGATGTTCTGTATGTTACCCCAATTGTTTGTTTGAATTTTCTTTCCGTTGAAAGTCGATTTTCGGACAAATCCTAAACCTTGCGCCAGGACGTCACTGCGCCAGGACGTCACAAGGGGTTGCGTCAATGCTTGATTGTACTTTAGTGGCGCAATTGAAATGACACCTCGTGTGCTTTCGGCCGAATTCACTTAATTTGTTTGAACGTTACACCTACACGCACGAGCATGTACATGTTAACAATACGTACAACGATTAGAATTGATTGCAATGTCCTCGATGCAGCATACTTATCGTGCATGTTAATAGGGCTTATGTAGCATTAAAACGACCTGCATCGAATGATAAGGTGCTTTGGCATATATAGTGTTCAAGTAAGGCATACACAGACGACAGTCACATCACACCTTGTTACTCTGAGATTGTTCATATGCATCGTTACTGCTTCCGTTTACATTTAAGCTGTAACTCCGACTTTGCATCGTCGCTCTGGAGGAAACCGGGATCTTCCTAGCGCAACAGTGACACGCCAATATGACACCCCGCCGTAACTCCCCGTAATGAAAAGCGTAAATTATGGGATTCAAACACATGTTGCACAGTACAAAAATAACAGTTGTGTAAAAGTACACACTTGCGAAGTCCACTGCGATCCCGAGATTGAAAAGTAGGTAGAGGATTTCATTAGGTCCCCAGCAGATCAGGTACGCTAAAGATACGATGACCATGGTTTTAAGGACGCTCCGAGAGGCCATGATGGCAAAACGACGTCGAGGTTGTGATGGGAGTTTCATGCTTGATTTTTTGTTTTTGGGTAAGTCACTATCTTCGTGGTTCTCTTTTCTCGATCCAGGTAAAGTGCCAGAAGACACGCCGACACCCATCCGCAAGGTTGGCATGTCCTTACGAAGTCGAACGACGATGCGAATGTAAACGTACACCATGATGGTCAAGGGTACCAGGTAATGATCAATAAAGACAATGCAACCAAATGCCTTCTGCAAGCCTACTGGTTCTTCTGGCCACGTGGCCCAGCACGAGCGGTTGTCTATGGTAGCATTGTTCTCATCAACGGCTAGGTCACCTGATATCTGATGGACCATCAACCAAGGAATCTCATGCAGAGGACCAATTATCCAGGGCAACAGGCATAGTAACCGCGCACGATTGATGGTAAAACGGTTCCTGTATTTGAGCGGATGGATCACAGCGAAGTACCGCTCCACGGTCAGGCATACCAGGTTGACGGTAGATGACACCGAGATGGCCCAAAGAGGATACTCCGAGTACCAAAACTTGCAGACGAACATCGCGAATTTGGGCTGGATCGGCAGCTTCGGTTTGGGTGTCACATAGAGAAAGAAGAAGATGATGCTACTTGTGAAGTCGATAACGGATTGGTTGGTGATGAGGACATTGGTGAAGGACCGTAGAGACGGAACGCGGGCCAGGACGAAGATGACGAGGCCATTCCCAATGACTCCCAGCAAGGCGATGAAGAGGTAGATGGTAAGAAGTGCAGGATTGGTGCCTTCGTAACCTCCTGAAGAAGCTGTCTCAGATGAGTTATCTTCAATGATGGTTGCGTTGGTGGGATCGATAGACATTGTGTGGCTTAGCGTGAACCAGCTGATTTCATGGGAATGTGGTGGCCTCAATATCGCCCGGAGAAAGGATCTGTGAATCAATAGGAAAGCATACGATTTAGTACAAAAGGAGAAGAAGCAGAACCGAACAAAAAAAAACGAATAAAAAACAAATAAAACAAACCTATGGGAAAGTTGACCAGCGGCTGGCGACGTACATGTACTCTGAATGTCTTTTATCTAGGATACTCGCGGAGTATCCTCTTTACAAGAAAAGAAAGAGAAGAAGGAGGGAGAGAGAGAGAGATAGAGAATGATAGAGAGTGAGAATAAAAGAGAGAGAGAGAGAGAGAGAGAAAGGGAGATGCTCGGGAAATAATAACACTCTAAAATGACCATCACCATTTTCTCTTATTTCGACCAAGAATTTAACCAAGAAAGGTGATTTGTAACACAATCTGCACCAAACAAACCTTTCCAAAGGAGCTGTAATGATATTGCCGGGATAGCACCAGCGCCTGTGGCCTTTTAGTTTACGCCCGCTCGCCCAAATAAAATGTTTTGTCTCTGACAGCTCAGTTTCCGGAAAAAGGAAATTTGACAGGGTTTTGCGTTGAGAATGCGGGTCGCCAAGAACTGTGCTTTCTTTCTGACGTAGGAATGTGTCAGCGAGCTGCCTAGCCCTTTAATGCGCCGGTGAATTATCGTTCGGTCTACAACCAGTTCGTCTACTATCCAAATGGTCTAGTTATCATTTAGTCTACTTATCATTTGGTCTAATGACCATTTAGTCTAATAGTAATTTGGTCTATTGTTCATTGAGTATAATAGCCAGTTAGTCTCATTCCTAGTTTGTCTCATGTCCATGTTGCTTCCATCCATAAGGTCTAATAATCATTTTATGATTATCATTATTCAAGATTGAATGATTATTAGACCATTATGGATAGTAGGCTGGATGTAGACCAAATGGGAATAGACCAAAATGGTAATAAACGAACTTGTTGTAGACCAAATGGCAATAAACCGCCATATGAGAGTTACATCGTATACACAATGAATGCAAAATGAACGATACAAATATATTTGTTGAATTATTATTGTATGAACTGCACTTTTACCCATAAAATTGGAATCTATTTAAATTTAACAATTTGTATGTAGTGATTGTGAGAATATAACTTATCATTGATAGATAATGTTTATATCTTCCCAGAACTTTATAGATAAACCTATTTAAGAGTCATCTAAATCTATCAATTAGGTTCTGAGAAGATAGTTATACACTTCATCCAACTTTATTGGCAACCGTGCCTTCAAAGACTTGATTAGCACGGAATTTTGTTTAATTCCTGGATACGGGTATATTAAACTTCGAACAACCCTTGCTCCATAAAAAAGGTTAAACTTTCCATGGTACCCTGATATTTGTAGTATTATATTCTGTAAATGAAGCCTGTAATATAAGGCTGTATTATGAAACAAATACCAAAGAAAAACACCGTACCAATCAAGTTAATCTTGTTGAAAAAGCCAAACAAGCAAAAGACGACGAGTTATTCTTATGCTTATAAATATTTTTGTATTCATCTATATGAGGAGTGTTAAAGACGATCATAGCATTTTACTTTGAGAGAGATTATTAAATCTTGACATTGTGTAAAAAAAAAAAAAAACACTCCATAAAGCTGACTATAATGTCTACGTGCTGAGCATGGTTCGGTCATCTTATAAGGATATGAATGCACACAGTTTCTTTAACATGACATAAAAAGAGAAAAATCTTTGCCAAATTTTTCGCCGCGCTTTTCCCTAAATACTCCGGTAGTGGAAATTTGTTGATTTAGGGTAAAGCATGCATCACTACTTTCACATATGACGTAGTCAATACAAACCGTTCCCATTTGCTTTTAGACTATTTGTTTTCTTAACGAATACTGCCGTTTTTTAGGGGCTGTACAAGAACCTCTATTTTTTCTCCAATTTGAATATTTCAAAATACCGCGACTCCTTTTTGGGAATACATGAAACCCTTTTGGATTGTACGAACCTGTATTTGCACTTTGTTAGATTAGATCGTATCGAAGCGCACTCTCGCTTTGGAAAAAGCGCGAGCAGGGTTGTTTAAGGAATACTATCAATATCACAATCAAATATTATGATATGTGATATTCCTAGCGGTCGTTTCCTAAACCAACTATACACAATTCGAGACAACTCTAGATAAAACCCTAAGTTCATCACCCCAGCTCTGAATTCATATTTCGATTCGATTGAAAATGTTATGCAAAGTCACACATTGTATGTTATTGTACGTGCCACTCTGATATGGACCCATATATAATGGTGTACTTGGTTTTTATTTTCGATAGACTAAGTGCTGCTCCATTTCACATGTACGCATTTTCAGGACTTTAATAATTCGGGAAGGGAATAGACTGAATATTGCTCTATTTCACATATTTTGTAGGCAAACACTCACATTTTCGGAGAGAGAAAAGACGAAATAAAGAAAATGGTTTCGAGCAAGAGTCTTTAATTGAAACAACGTCCATATCCGGCTAAATTGTGTCAGAATAAGATATTCATAAAAGCCTGACAAAATGTTAGTGCTTGTAAAACCAAAAAAGTACCCGCACAAAGCTGATTAAACTTCAGGGTGGATTGAAAAATAGGTAACCCTTCGAAGAAATGCCCTCTTCTGAAACAACAATTATTCAACTGTTCCATAAAATTTGACCCATAATAAAATAAAACATGATAAAGATAATAGTGGCACCAATTTACAACAACAAAAGAAAGAATGAAGAAAGAAGGAAAGAAAGAAGAAGAAAGAAGGAAAGAAAGAAAGAAAGGAAATTTAAATTTCATCACTTTTTACAATTTTGTCGACAAAGACATCAACAATCTAAATTTTGCCAGGATGAAAATGAGTAATTTAAAAATGTCATCTCAATGTTAATACCTAAAGCCTCAAATATCTTTGATTAAAAAAAGGTCATTAAAAACTAAAGCATTATCTGACAGGTTTTCTTCTAATATAAGACAGAAAAGCCAGGACATACTAGGAACGTATCTATATCATAGAAGGCTACAAATATCACCCTGGATTTTAAAACCAATCCTCAATGCTTTTGCATGGTCTAAAGAGTGAAGAGACTAGAAGAAGGAAACACTTGACACCTTCTTTGCATTGTGAAGAGGTGTTTTTGAGGTATATGGTGTAATGCTCGGGTGAAGTTTGTTTCTCCTGAGGTACTAGAGAGATAAACCATATCGATGTGCAGGCGCGTACGCAGGGGGGGGGGGGGGGGGGGAGGAGATTCAGGGGGTTAAACCCCCCTTTTGTATTTTGTATATGTGTATTTTTACGTAAAAACCCTAACCCCCCCCCCTTTGGTTTTTTTTTTTAATCATAAAAAAAGCCCCTCTAAAAAAGGTGACCTTAACCCCCCCCCCCCCACACACACACACACTTATTCAGCGGCTGGCTGAGTCGTTGCGATTTTTTTGGGACCCCCCCCCCCAAAAAAAAAGTGTCCTCTTACCCCCCCCCCCCCCCGATTTCAAAATGTTAACCCCCCCCCCCTTGAAAAAATCCTTCGTACGCCACTGTCGATGTGTATGTCACTTTGGTAGGTGGATGAACGTTGGGATTCCCCAAGCAATCCTTGAAGACATTTGCTTCACTTTTTGTAGGCAATCGATTTTTTTTTCTTTCTCTTCTTTTCTTTTTCTCTTTCTTTTGTTTGTTTGTTCGTTCTATGTTGGTGTGTGTTTTGTATACTGTTGTACTTGTTATGTTTTTTAAATGTTGTTTGGGGCGGGGGGAGTAGGTGTTTTCTAGCTCTTTATATATATATATATATATATATATATATATATATATATATATATATTTGTCTCTAAAGGAAATTTAAGAGGAAAACAAAATATTGTGGAAAAGAAATAATTTGAAATTCATAATCAAACTGGTCGAGAAAATAGTACAAACTTTATTTGCGTTGTTTTTTTTTTTTTTGGTGAAAATATAATTTTGTTTATGTGAATATTTTTCATCTGTAAATGTGTAACTTTAGTTGGAACCTTGTATGTAAATGTAAAAGTTCATTTACAAATTTATTAAGACCTATGTTGAAATTATTTTGGTGGCTTGTATACAATGTTATAAATTATGTACAATTTTTCTTTATGAGAGAAATGAATAAAAACCTATGAAAAAAAAAAAACACTAACGAGAAGTTTGGATGATGTGATTAACGTGACTGCGCAAAGACGAAATCAGGTAAATGTCACATAATTATTATCAAGATCCCAGATACAAGAACGAAAAATGGAGTTGTTACACGCTCAAGAATCTTTTGAGTGTCCAATTGCTTGAGGAGGCGCGATAGCTCAGTCGGTAGAGCAGTGGTCTCGTAATCCCGGGTTCGAAACCAAGGCGATGGGCCAGTGCCCTTTGGTAAGGCATTATCCTCATTACCAAGTCCCTCGGAGAGGACCTAAACCCGTCAACCGTCTGGTTGCTTACTAACAAGCATTTATGCTTACTCCACCACCACATGCTTCAAATCAAAACCAATATAGTTTTTTTGTCTTAAATGGGAGGAAAGATTATATCATTGGACATTTAAGTTCTAGCAGTTTTTCAACTTACTGTCATTTCAGCCCACTACTGTTCACCCATTGCCTGTTACATAGATTCTTTGTCTTTCAGATTCTTCAAAAATAGGGGCGAGGAGCAGGGGGTGGGGGGGGGGTGGTGCACGCCGACATCACGCTATGCTGGATGTGACACCATTTCCCGTTTGCTTGGACGGGGCACACAAAATACATGCACATTTTTATCTAGTGTACCCACAAGGCTGGACTGTCAGATACAAGAGAACGACCGATGTAGAGAGTCATACTTGTTTACTTATGCGTGAGTGAGAATTGTATGTTTTAGGATACCTCGTGACGCCAAAATCACACATCTTAACTTCGTACAAATTGACACTGGCTAGAGGAAAAGGGAAAATATGGATCGCAGAAAATAAAGTGAAAATAGAATGAGGGAAAGGGAGAGGGAAAGGGAGAGGGAGAGAGAGAGAGAGAGAGAGACAGAGACAGAGAAAGAGAGAGAGAGTGAGATTTGATTACGCGCTCGAACCCAAGCCCACGCCATTTCAATGTAGTAAGGATACATCGACCTCTTGTCAGATGTTTCTGACTTAAAAATCTATTTTAGATGCATTATTAGTTTTTTTCTGTAAAATTTAAACAAGGAAATTGTATCAAATGTAAATTTGGTTTTCATACTTCTTTTCAAAAACATCAATGATTCATGTACATGTCATGAAAAATTGAAAAAGATAGAAAAGTGATGTAGTTTAGTGTTCCTTAAGTATATTTTGATTTCTATAAGGAATTTAATCGAAAAAGGAAAGCGAAACACTTTGTGCTATTCAGTGGAGTACCAAGAAATGGACTAAACAGTGGCGCAATTTTCCCTTGAACGGGGGGCGGGGGGGGGGGGCGTCTTGGGGCAGCCCATTGTGATGTTCATCCATCACACTGAACGTCGATTGTTTTCTTCCAGGAATCTTCAAACGGTCGATGGAGTGTATGCCGACTACAATCTTTATTGGATACGTCAGAACCTATAGAATATCTTGATTTCAATAACGAATGAGAAGTAATTATTAGGCTGGAAGTGCGTGTTGAGTCTTCAATCAACTATATCTTATCTATAAAGTGACATCCCCATTCCTCGTACAATTTGATCGACGTGCTCTTATCGTAACGGAAACGGGTTAC